AGGTTCCAACATGTGTGCAAAGTTTCAAGAGTTTTTGTGTATGTTAAAGGCCCCAAAACCCCCCAAAACCTTGAAAAAATAAATGTATAATAATAATCCTTAGAAGAACAGTAGTGCCCTGCACCTTACTGGCTTGGGCCCTAAATATAGCTGCAAGCAGCGATGGCGGGCCCAAGCCATCAGTGCAAATGCCACCCCGGTGGCATCAGGAAAACTGTGCCCAGCAGGCTCATACATTTACAGTAACCTTCTGGCAGTCTGGTTTTAAGGGATACGGCAATTAAAGGGTTAATCCAAAACATCAAGACTGTGAAACACATATACACAGAACAATATGCACTGAACAAAATTATAAACGCAACACTTTTGTTTTAGCCCCCATTTTTCATGAGATGAACTCAAAGATCTAAGACTTTTTCTATGTACACAAAAGGCCTATTTCTCTCAAATATTGTTCACAAATCTGTCTAAATCTGTGCTAGTGAGCACTTCTCCTTTAACGAGATAATCCATCCACCTCACAGGTGTGGCATATCAAGATGCTGATTAACATGATTATTGCACAGGTGTGATTTTTGAATGGATTTTTGTCCCTAAAACTGACAGAAAAGGATAAGGCCTAATATATTTCTTAATCTGTAATGGAAAAAAAAAAAAAAAAAAAAAAATTACTGATTATTTTTTTTCTGGTGATTAGTCTCTCTCTCTCTCACCCACCCCTTCACTCACCCCCACTCTCAACACACACACATTCACCCACCTCCCCCCATTCCTCACACAGAGACAGAGTGGCAGAGTGAGATCAGATGTCTGATAGTTTTTTTAATTTTCTCTTATGCATAGAACATTGTAAAGTCGTGAAACTATGCATATTTCCTCAGAATGACTTGTTCTCTGTATGTAAAAAGTTTTGAAGTGTTTGGAACTTGCACTTCAATAATATAAGACAATTACTGTTTACTTTTTTACTGTTATTTTAATAAATCACCACGGCAAAACCCTCTCTCTCTCTCTCTCTCTCTCTCTCTCTCTCTCTCTCTCTCTCACCCACCCCTTCACTCACCCCCACTCTCAACACACACACATTCACCCACCTCCCCCCATTCCTCACACAGAGACAGAGTGGCAGAGTGAGATCAGATGTCTGATAGTTTTTTTAATTTTCTCTTATGCATAGAACATTGTAAAGTCGTGAAACTATGCATATTTCCTCAGAATGACTTGTTCTCTGTATGTAAAAAGTTTTGAAGTGTTTGGAACTTGCACTTCAATAATATAAGACAATTACTGTTTACTTTTTTACTGTTATTTTAATAAATCACCACGGCAAAACCGTTCAAGCTATCCAAAATCCATCCGCAATTTAAGTTCCTCAGTATTTTGGCATCATGTAGACAAAGTTTGGTGTGTATAGTATAATTTTCCTCTGAGGAGTATGCATTAATTCACAGCTATATTTTTCCAAAAATCCACATTCAAATCAAAATAGCCGACTTCCTGTTCGTCGTAGCTGATGACTGTAAACTAGAAAGTTGTCTGTCTTGATGGGAATAATGTCTATACCAAGTTTGGTGACTGTAGCTAAAACTAATCCCCCAAGTTTGGTCAAAAGGTGGCGCTATAGAGTGCCTCTTCCACGCCCTTTTATGAGCTTTTGCCAGTGTCTATCTATCATTAATTAATATATGTGTGTTGAGGTTCATGAAATTCTAAGCATGTTATCTGCTTCAAAATCACTTGTGGCAGTGAAAATGTTGTGCCACAACATCTTTTGATTTACTTTCGTTTTCACTTTGCGTGTTTGGGGTGGAGCATTTCAATTATCAACGGAAGGAAAGACGATATAAGGAAGTGAGTCATACCTGAGAGTAATTGCGTCATCTGTAAAAGTTTGCAGTAGTGTGGGAGTGATTATGTGGAGAACCCTGCGAATGTGGAAAGATGGCTGTTTGTTCAAACGGTTGCTTTTCTTGTGAGTAGGGATGCACCGATACCGAGCTCCTGTACTCGTACTCGTACTCGTTTAATGCCCCGATACCAGTATCGGGCCCAATACTGAGCTCCTGTACTCGTACTCGTACTCGTTTAAATGCCCCGATACCAAACGCCAATACCACACAGCATGTGATAAATGCCATATTCAGACAAAGAAAAACTGACAACAGAACACCAGACAGCAGAATGGAGTTAAGGATGTCTACTACGAAGTATATGTATGCAATGAATATAACGTTAAACATTCAGTATTAATGCCTGTATAGCTGATGTGCGCGAGCTGATAAACAAAGCACACTGAGTGGATTGAGTGCGCAACAATAATGCACAAGTTACTTAACGGTATGGAGAGACAGAGAGAAAGAGAGAGAGCGCGCACTTCTGTTGTGTGATCTTTGATGTTCACTCACTTAGCACACGCATCATTTGGATTAAAACTAAATCGTAAAAATAATACCATATATAGGGGCATTCACTATAAACAATTTATTTTCAACCTTACACGACTTTCTGGCGAAAGTGAAACTAACAGCCTGTATGAAATGCGCTAGGCTGTACTGTACTTGTCCCTCTCATTCTGCATCAGTACAAATACGTGCACGCGTTGCATGTGTTTTGCTTGCTTGAGTGTTTCTACATTATATGAGTGGCTTTGGAATATAAATCGCAGCACGTTTCAGATGAAAAAAAGACTTCTATTTCTGAAAATATCACAGTTAGGAGATGTATAACGAGCCGTTCCCTGCATTATTACAGCAAAGCGCGTAATTACAGTACTAACCCGCTGCAATGGAGCAGCTCTAATGCTATTAAATTAAAGATGATGTACCATAGAGAAAAAAATTAACAGTGAAAGTAACAAAAACTTGTAAAATACATTTTAATGGGCATACTTAAGTGTGAAAATAACCAAAGGATATACAGTCAAACCAAAAATTATTCAGAGACCAGATATAATTTTTTATATTTTTTACTAGTGGGTGCAGGACACTATAGTTCATTTATGTAAGTGAGGATAGCAAAATAAAGTAAACCGTGACAAATCACACCCAAAACTTCTTCATACAGTGGACTACCAGTAAAACTGATACAAATTTGGGACCAAAAATTATTCAGACCGAGTCTGGGAAAAAACATTGAAGTTGAGGTTTGCATACAGCTGGGTGACAGCATGCCCAGGAGACTATATGCTGTCGTTAAGGCTAAGGGCTGCTCGACTAAGTATTGATAGTTGTGTAAATACTGTCATACTAACAGCTGTCTAATTTTTGGTTGATTGTAATCTATTACATACCCTTCTACCAAAATTATCTAACATTATCAAGCTGAATTTGTTCTGACACAGTTTAACTCTGAGTTCTTGTCATATTTTATTACCATTTTCTAAACTATAGCGAATAAACAGTGATAATGTGAGAAATGTTGAAGGTGTCTGAATAAATTTTGGTTTGACTGTATCTATTTGATAAATTAAGTTAACCAACTAACATTATACATACTCTTTTGGTTTCTTTTCCCAATATTTAAAAAATGTACAAATGCAATAAAAATATTGGTATCGGTACTCAGTATCGGCAAGTACCAAAAATAAAAGTATCAGTATTGGGCGAGTACTGGAAAAAGTGGTATCGGTCCATCCCTACTTGTGAGTGATGTCTGGTGCGTTGTGACGTTCCAAATTACTTTTAAATGTGGCACTGCCAGATCGTCTGCACTTAAAGTTGTTCTGAAGACAAGTATCGGCTGCTCATCCACCGGTCCTGGTGTCTGAAAATCCCGCTATACTCTCCAATTTTCGTCATGACTGCAAACTTGGTCAGTACCTCTCTGGTACACATACTCATTTCACTCACTACTACACATGCACACACTCGCACCACATTCACTTTCGCACATTCGGTGTGCTTATTGTTTTTATGAGTGTTAAATTATTATTGTTGCTTTGAAATTGTTGTTTGATAATTATGAAATGACCAAATGCTTATTTAATGTTTCTTTTTTTCTTCTTCTTCTTTTTCCTCTATGGACAATTTATAAATGATTGTGGACGTCAATCTGCTTTATTGGAAACGTACACTAGAGTGACGCAATTCCTACGTGGACCTCAACCCGAAACGTAATTTGAACTGTTGTTTTTTTTCCCTCTGCTTATTGTCTTTTCAGTTTTTGTTTGTTTGTTTCTTATTGTTCAAACTTGTATTTTTCTTCTTTTTTTTTCTCATGCAATGGACAATAGTGGATTAAATCTTCCCTTTGAACAGTATTATTTTTTGACTGTCTATGTGATTTAATGTTGTAACAGGTGGTGTTTTAGTTTGCTATCCTGGGTTAATTAAAATTTTGTCAGGGTTAAAACCTGACTGGCGCCCGAATATTTTCCTTATAGAGTTTATTTATGCTAGGGCAGCCGCCACCGTTACAGAGTGGCACCCGAACAGGGACTTGAATTTAAAAAAAAACTTAATGTAAAAACTTGAATTTATGAAAACTTGAATACTTGAAAACCTGAACATTTATTTTTGTGAATTGTTTTTGTTGGGGAATTATTGAAACCTTATGGTAAATTGTTGAAGGGTCAAGTTTTTTTTCCCCCTTAAAAGTAAACTGTTATGTTTTTGGAAATTCTGTGTTTTTTTTATTACGGCAGTGTAATTTGGAAAAGCTTAAAGGATTAGTTCACTTTCAAATTAAAGTTTCCTGATAATTTACTCACCCCCATGTCATCCAAGATGTTAATGTATTTCTTTCTTCAGTCGAAAAGAAATTAAGGTTTTTGATGAAAACATTCCAGGATTTTTCACCATATAGTTGACGTCAATGGACTCCAAACGGTTGAAGGTCAAAATTACAGTTTCAGTGCAGCTTCAAAGGGCTTTAAATGATACCAGACGATGAATACGGGTCTTATCTAGCGAAATGTTCCGGTCATTTAAAAAAAAAAATGTATATGCTTTATAAACACAAATGCTGGCCTTGTTCTGTTCTGTGATGTGCGTTCATGACTTCACGTAATACGTAATTACGTTGAAAAAGGTCACGCTTGACGTAGGCGGAAGTACCGAGTCAGTGTTTACAAACGTGGAGAAGGAGGACCGTTCAAAAGTTGTTGAATGTTCAATGACACATATTCAAATTTCTTTGTGTCAGTTTATTGTTTAAAATGGTAATTTCGTGTGCGTATCCTGGATGTTTTAATATTAAAAAACCTAAAAGAAAATTTTCGCCAGAAAAGAAAATTTTGACTTTTCATAGATTTCCCATACACAATCCTGAGCGATTGAAGCTGTGGTTGCTCGCGCTGCACTTGGATATCAACACACCCGAACATACTCTGATATTTAAGAGAGTGTGCAGTGATCATTTTTTCGACCATGATTTCAAACCCTCCCAGCAAAGGAAATCGCCGTTTTCTGAACGCGTCGGCTGTGCCCAATACGTTTTTACAGCAAACAGAGGTATGTATATTTTTTTTTACTATATTAGATGCATTAACGTTTTTTTCTCGTCAATGTGTTTAATTTATTACTAATGTCTTCCTATTACTAAAGACTTGTTAAAATGTATTTTTTACTCCTAAGTATCCGTCTCGTGGAAATCTAGAGCCCCTAGCAAAAGACAATGACGCTGAGCTGGAGGAGGTCCAGGGAGCAGGAGTGTTTTTGGCTAATGTTCCACAGTCAACACCAGCAAAGCATCAGGACTCTGGTCCAGGAACTACCACGAGACAGTTTGCAGATGCTAAGTCTAAACTTTGTTTAGTGCTCACAAGTCCTGAAAGTGTTGGAAAGAGGACAAAACCCTCAACATCTGGGACATATTATGCCCTCCCTGCAATACACTCCCACCAGTCTGTAAGTACCATAATTTGTGACCAGTTAACAAAGTGAAATTATGGTAAATTATGCTTTTGTGTTATACATTGGAAATAAATTAATTTCTAAAAATGTATTTAATAATTTGATGTTGTATCCTTAAAAATGCACAGATATACTGTAATAAATGTATTAAATCTACTATTTACATTAATAATTTATATTCAGTAAATTTATATAAACCAAATTTAATCCATGTAATTTCACAGCCTCCTGTGTATAATCAACCAGAACAGACAGAAGAGCAATTTGAAGAAAGTTTGGAGCTTGATGTTAGCATGCTTTCCATAGATCCTCCATCGGACAAGAAAGATCTTAGTTTTCAGCCACTGAGTTCAACCTCAACGTCTGCCCCAAGCACAGAAGATGAGGAATGTGAAATGCATTGGAAACAGATTAAATGGATTGTCAATGAGCCCAATGTCATGGAGCTTTTCAAAAGATGTCAAGAATGTGGATCAGTAATAACAAAGACCAGAAAAGCAACTGTGGGAAGTGTTCTCCGTGTTCACTGGGAATGTGAAAAAAACCACAAGGGAAAGTGGAGTTCATGCACTGATGTTAGGGGAATGCCCGCTAATAATCTTCTTGTTTCTGCATACACACTATTCACTGGAGCAACATATACAGACATCGCTGATTGGGCCACTTTGCTCAACCTTCAAATACCCCATAAAACCACTTATCATGACATTCAGTCTTCCTACCTTATTCCAGTTGTTAATGAAGAATATCAAGAACAACAGAAAGCAGCAATTAATGACTTACATTTGCAAACTGAACTCCGTAATCCAGTTCATTTGTCTGGAGATGGTAGGTCAGACAGGCAAGTAAATGTAGTTATTAATTTTTTTGGACAATTTTAGAAAATTAACAATACTGAAATGTTTTGTACTTGTGCTTCTTTTAGCCCTGAATTTTCGGCGAAATACAACACTTACAGTTTAATGGATGACACAACAGACAAGATTGCTCACTTTGAGTTGGTGCAGGTCAGTTTACATGACATAATTCTACATCCCGTATGTTATTAATTATAAGTAACCTTAGTAAGTGTTCAGTATTTTACAGTGAAGTACAGTAACATTACTGGCAGTTTTTGCAATGTTATGATCAATATAAAATGCTTTTAATAATACTTAATAAAATATGTTGGTTATTTTGAACATCAACGACAATACACACACATATTGTTTATCTAGCATGGTATTGCATTTCAGGTTACAGAAGCATCTAGTTCTGTGGCCATGGAGCCAGTAGGTTTCAAGAGGGCTGTGAACTCACTACAAGAGCAAGGAATCAAAATAGATGTGCTGACCACAGACAAATCACCATCTATTAGAAAGATTATGCGTGTAGAATATCCCAACATTCACCACGAATTTGATATTTGGCATGTAGTCAAAGGTAACTGTCTCACAACAATTTAATACTACTATATGTATATATATATATATATATATAGAGAGAGAGAGAGAGAGAGATATTAATCATGAATTATCCAAAAAGCAGCATAGTTCAAAGCTTATTTATTCCTATGTAGGAATATACAATGTGTAGTTTGCATGGATCAAAAAATTGCTACAATAAACCGTGAAGTACTAAATTAACCTTGGTATGCACTATATTGTCACTCCTCCTTCATTGTTTGATAATTCAAATTATTGTTTTTCAGGACTTTCCAGAAAGTTGTGCTCCATGTCAAGATACACGGACAATCGAGAGCTGCAGCCATGGATACGAAATATTTGCAACCATCTATGGTATTGCTCTGCAACTTGTGGAGGTGACCCTGACGTAAGTTCTTTAATGTTTTAATATTAACTTTAATTTCTTAATATATACACACACACTTGTTATCTTTTTGGGGGGCGTTACGTAGACATAATAGCCTTTATACTGTACTAATGTTATAAATGAGTCCCTGAACCACAACAGGACAGTCTGCATTTTTTGTAAAAAAAAAAAAAAATCTATTACTATGGTTTGTTAGACTTTGCTCTTTATAGGGAGCTAAATTGTGTTCTTGTAATGTTTTAAATGTTGGGGTTGCTGGACCACAAACATCTATTTTTCTGTTTATAATTCATACATTATTATTATAATTACTTTTTTGCGTATTCATGTATTTATACAGGAACTGATTGAGAATTGGAAGTCCATTCTTTTTCACATTACAGGTGTGCACAGTTGGATTGAAGAAGGAAAGCCGAAAAATGTGGACACAATGATCTCAGTCCAGAACAGCAACAAAGAAAAAAATGGCTTGGAAAAAAACTCACGTGCCTTCCACACACTACAGAGTCTTGTCCTGGACAAAGGACTTCTAAAGGATTTGAGGCAAATGGCTCTTTTCAAATATAGTTATATACACATACTAATGTACATACACATGTTCATGTAGGTACACCGGATACAAATTTTTCTTTTATTTTTAAGACAACTGGAGGTGTTTCATTCTGTCCTACTGAAGTACTGCTCAAAGAACCTGCATTTTCATTACTATCCTTGACCACAATGAAAATGTAGGTCATCAACAAGCCACAACCACTACTGGTAAGTGGGAAACAACATACTGTGCGTAATATATAGGGTGATGACAATAGATAGGCGGCTGGACACCAACTTTGTTTACAAGGACAGTTCTTCGCATTTGACTCATTGCCCATTGCCACAGAACATAGCCCTAAAACCAAGGCCTGACAAGCAAGAAGTAATTGCAAAGCGCTTAAGATTTGGACATTAATTTACTTTAAAAATGTTATGAGTCTAATGTACAATTACTATTATTACTCATGTTGTTTTATAGTTTTTCTCATTTTTTCTTATTGAGGTAATGACAGAATACACCGTTGGTAAAAAAAAAAACTTATTTCTTGTGTTAGTGTGAATATATGGTCCTTACTGATGGTACCCTACATCAGTTGCAATTACACATCAACGACTGTAGTTATCTCAAATCTGTTTTATTCTTCCAAATAAACGTTTGTGTGAGACATCAAGTATGTAGTGTTGATGTATATACAACAACAAATAACACTGAATATGAAAGTAACAAAACTACAGCAATTACAGTAAGTAACAAATACTACCCAAGCCACAACAAAATATAATGTTTATTAAAAATGTAACATTGTAATTGTAATTCCAATTAATATACCTACAAAAGACCAAAAGCTTCTTCTGCTTCTCTGAAGCCCACATAATGTCCTGATGGAGAAGGGTAGGACTGTCTGATGGCACTGACAACACAGGATGGAAGAACCCTCCTGTTTCATCTTCCCAATCTCTCTCCTTTCAGCATCCATTCCAGAACAATCTTGTATGCCACCAGCCTGTATTGACTGTAAAATAAAATAAATGTGTGCAGTGAATAACTTTAAAAAAATATATATATTTTACTACATGTAATCACACTACACGCGATACTTACTCTACTGTTAGGGTGCCACCAGGTCCTTGTGGCCTCGGACGGCATCTCCAGTTAATTTTGGACAAACTAAAAAACACCTCTAAAACGCTGTTGCTCAGTAGCAGTGGAAACCCATTTTGTTCGGTAATGCAGCGAGATGGAGACAGGGTCTCACCAGCTGACACACTGACTGATTCTAATGGCGGAATTGAAATGGTCCAGTCGTGGCAGCATTGAGATTCTTCCTCTGTTGGCATTTGCCACATGTGCACCACCACGTCTCGTTAGATCTTCATCTGCCCGAAGCTTGAGAGGTTTGTGTCGCCGCAGCAGTCTCCTCCATCTGCCTAATTTCTTCCTCTGTGTGTTCCGGTTCAAAAAGGTAGGGCAGAGCGAAAAACTCCATCTCATCTTCACCTCCAATTTCAAAATCGTCCAACATCGTTGTTTTACCTTTTAACTCCCTTTTTTTGTAAACGGTGTTTGACTTAGTATTTGCACGTTCAACTTGTAAACACTGACTCGGTACTTCTGCCTACATCAAGCGTGACCTTTTCAACGTAATTACGTATTACGTGAAGTCATGAACGCACATCACAGAACAGAACAAGGCCAGCATTTGTGTTTATAAAGCATATACATTTTTTCTTTTTTTTAAATGACCGGATCGTTTCGCTAGATAAGACCCTTATTCATCGTCTGGTATCATTTAAAGCACTTTAAAGATGCACTGAAACTGTAATTTTGACCTTCAACCATTTGGAGTCCATTGAAGTCAACATGGTGAATAATCCTGGAATGTTTTCATCAAAAACCTTAATTTATTTTCGACTGAAGAAAGAAATACATAAACATCTTATTATCAGGAAATTTTAATTTGAAAGTGAACTAATCCTTTAAAAGGTTACCAACCATTTGTATAAATTGTATGTGGGTGTTTTGTGAAAAGTGTGGTGCATGAAATTACTGACAAACACAATTACTGATTTACATTTACATTTACTGATTTTCTGCCCAACATTTCTTTCACCCACACAAACACAACATATGGCGACTACCCCTCCTTCCCCATCCACTTTCATAGAAATGGAGTCCCCTCCAGATATCTCAACTCCTGTATGGCCACCAGCAGTGCGACCTCTGATGCCTGGGGTCTCTGCAGTGAATAACACCCCTATTCCATTCAGCCCCATGCATCCTGTGTCCCATATGCTAATATCTTCTCATGTTCTGGCTGGCAGCACTCCCGTGCAAACTCTCACCTGGGCACCACAAGTGGCTAACATGCAACTATGCACATCATCCGAAGGAAGATCTCTTCCAAGTGCACAGCACGACCTACCCAACGTTCAACCAACTCCTGGAAGAGAAATTCAAAAGTTCACTTCTCAGGTACAAGGGAACTGTGAAATTGTATTTGACTTCATGAAAAGACAAGATAAAACAGTGAATGATCTTACCCAAGAAATGAAAGCCACTTCTTCTCAAAACAAAAATCAACTCACGGACCTTGCTGCAAAAGTTGAGGATAACACGAGCCAAGTCTTCACTCTGTTGACTACTACCAAACAACAAGAGGAATCTGAAACCGACGAGTTGATTAAAGCTATGAAGCAAATGATTACAGCTGAACTCCAAAAGGTGGAATCTACCTTGGTGTCAGAAATGCAATTCATGGTAGACCAACTCCAGTCGGAATTCCAGCAGGACATTAAAGCTATTCAACACACATTTCAAACAACCCAAGATCATATTACTAAAGAACTTCAGCAACGTGACACTCAAATTGACAAACTTTCTACGTGTGTAAAGGAATTGAGAAATGAGACGGAAAAAGGATTCCTGGATCTAAAAAATCAAATTGACGACAAAAATTGGCACCACAAATTCCCAGCACCACCATTACTTCAACTCCGCCATCTGTGTCTACTCCAGCAATTCCTTAAACTTCTTCAAACCCTCTTCCCACACCTATAGTAAAAAGTGATCATATTAAATTGACTTTTCCCACTTTTGGTAGACCATCAGACGATGCAGACCCCCTACTGTACTTAACCAAATGTCTGGATTTCTTGGCTCGTCATCCCCTCACTGATATAGATATCCTAGCCACATTCCGTACTGTCCTTCATGGAACTGCTCGGGATTGGTGGGAAGTCAGGTGTTCCAGCATATCCACGTGGAGAGAATTTGAGGCTGCATTTCTTTCTGCATTTTTGTCTGAAGATTATGACGATGAACTGGCTGAATGGATCCGAACAAAAATCCAGGGTGAGAAAGAATCTATATGAGACTTTGCATTCTCCTACAGAGCTTTGAGTAAAAGATGGAAGGCAGATCTAACTGAAGGTGAAACTGTGAAGATGATACTTAAGAACATTAAGCCTTACCTTGCCAGCCAATTGTGTAGTCGGGTGAGTACTGTAGAGGAATTAGTCAAGTTAGGACATCAACTAGAAAAAGACTATGAACAACAGCTTTGATATGAAGGTCGAAGGGGCCCTAAGCATCCATCCACATCACCCAGACCCTCATTAAACCAACCTGCTGAGAAAATCCCAGTTCACTGTTGGAGATGCCGAGGACAGCATCCGCCAGGCAAGTGTCCACACTATATCCCTCCACAGTCACCTCATCAATCATCTGGTCACCAATATACCAGCAGCAAATATCCCTATTCATCACCTCAAACAAGGGGGCAGTCTTCTAACAACTCAGTTACTGCTACAGAAGTGCAGAAGCCTCCAACTAAAAGCAAGAAAGCCTCTACCTCCACAAACCTTAATGCACCGATGACAGTACCTCAGCAGTTGGTTGTTCCTGTTAGTATTGCTGCATGGACTGGAAAAGCCATTATTGATACTGGTGCAGGTTATACACTTATTCATGAAAATCACATGAGACAACTCTCATGACCATATCAGCTCCATCCATGGTCCAGTGGTTCTCTCTACCTAGCAAATGAAGAAGCAGAGATTCCATTAGGCTGAATGAATACCACTATACATCTCCACGAACAAGATTTCACTATACCTGTTGCTGTTCTATCATCACAAGCCCTCGCTTATGCTGTAGTCCTAGGGTTGGACTTTATTTTCTTCAGTGGAATGCAGCTTAATGTCACAGATCAAAAATATTCTTTCAAGTTTGCCCCTGCAAAAGAGTACACCTTTCAACCAGGTAATGCCAGTGTGCCAATTGTGAGTCCACAATCTGAATACCTGCAACAGAAGAAATCAACACATAATCTGTCCTTGTTGAGTTCTATTCCTCCTCCAACTCCTCAACTGTTAATTCCACAACCTGACAGTATGGACGAAAAAATGTGAATCGAAAATGCAGTAAATTAAGCTCATTTACCTCCAGATGGTAAACAACAGTTGCTCCACATCCTGAAAAGCAACCCTTGGGTATGTACTCTCCGGACTGGACATACTGATGTTCTGCAGCACCACATTTATACCACTTGTCAGGTACCCATTAAGCAAAAACCATACCGCTTGTCCCCTTTTAAACAACTTGCCATGGAGGAACAACTTGAGGAAATGTTGTTACAAGGAATTGTTGAGCTATCCCACTCTGGTTGGGCCTCTCCAGTGGATTTGGTACTTAAAAAGATGGTAAATTTAGATTCTGTGTGGATTACAGAAAGGTCAGTGCTGTAACAGAAAGTGATGCCTACCCTCTCCCAAACATCACAGAAATCTTGGAGTCACTCTCTGGAGCAGCTATTTTCTCCATTATTGACCTCAACAGTGGTTATTGGCAGGTAGCTATGGACCCCAATAGCAAAGCCAAGACTGCCATCATCACTCCTGCGGGTCTCTATCAATTTAATGTTATGCCGTTTGGTCTCAAAAATGCTCCCACCACTTTCCAGAGACTTATGGAAACAGTCCTGGGGGAACTAAGGAGAAAAATATGTTTAGTCTATATAGACGATATCATCATTCACTCACCTTCAATCACCCAGCACTTTCATGACCTTCAGACTGTCCTCCACAGATTGGAGACTGCTGGTCTAACTATTAATTTTAAAAAGAGCAAGTTCTGTCGTCAAGAAATCACCTTTCTAGAACATGTTGTAAGCATTCATGGCATCTCAGCAGACCCATGTAAGACTGAGGCCATTCATGCCTACCCCGTGCCTAGAAACCTGAAGGAGGTTCAAAGGTTCCTTGGATTGGCTGGGTGGTATCATCGGTTTGTCCCGAATTTCTCCAGGATAGCCGAACCCCTCAACTCACTAAAAAGAAAGGACATAGGTTTGAATGGACAACTCAGTGCCAACAAGCATTTGAGCAGTTAAAGTCTTGCCTCACCTCACCACCCATCCTTTGCCATCCAGATCTTCTGCTCCAATTCACTGTCTACACCGATGCCATTGACACTGGTTTGGGTGCCATCCTGGCACAACGGTAAGACCAGGGCAAAGAGGAGGTCATTGCCTATGTGAGTAAAACCCTAACAGGAGCTGAACTAAATTATACGGCAACAGAAAAAGAATGTCTGGCAGTCGTATGGGCTTTAGAGAAATGGCAACACTACCTGGAACACAAACTTTTCACAGTTGTCACTGATCACTCTGCACTACAATGGGTCATGGGTTCCACTAAAACCACCAGCCGACTCATCCGTTGGGTCCTACAGCTGCAAAAATTGTATTTTATCATTGAGTACAGAAAAGGAAAACTCAATGTAGCCCCAGATGCACTATCCAGGTCTTTACCAGTCTCAAGCTGCAGTCTATACACCAGCCACAAGGAGTCAGGCCTGCCATTATCAGATGTTGTCCTGTGGGAGGAACAGCACAAAGATCCTGAAGTCACAAAAATAATGCAAGCAGTTACAGAGAACAATGCAAGTTTGAAAGACCAATTTGAAGTTGTAGAGGACAAATTATATCAGAAAACTTACCTGCCAAATAACCAGATGCACTACAGAGTGTACGTTCCCAGCAGTCTTCGGCCCTCTCTGCTGCAGCACTACCACTCCAGTCCTCTTAGTGGCCATGGAGGGATCTACAAAACGTACAAGCGACTCAAGGAAGTATCTTTTGGGCCAGGCATGTGGTCCGACGTGAAACGTCATGTGAAAACCTGTGTGAAATGTCAAATAATAAAACATAACAATCAAAAACCTGTTGGAAAATTGCAGCAAACTACTACCACTCGCCCAAACCAAATGCTGGGAGTCGACATCATGTGTCCACTACCAAGAAGTACAAACCAAAATGAGTACCTGCTTGCTTTTGTTGATTTTTATTCTCGATGGGTTGAGTTGTTCCCCATGTGTAAATCCACTGCCCAGAATGTTGCCTCTATCTTCAAAAAATAAATCCTGACTCAATGGGGTGTACCAGATTTCCTCCTCTCAGACAGGGGAGTTCAGTTTGTCTCAGCTGTGTTCAGAGAACTGTGTGAGAATTGGAGCATTACTCCCAAACTGACTACGGCTTACCACCCACAAACCAACATGACTGAAAGAGTGAATCGGACCCTCAAAAACATGATGTCAGCCTATGTGGATCACAAGAAGTGGAACCAGTTCTACCTGAGTTCCGATTCGCCCTGAATTCAGCCATCCAAGAGACAACTGGACTATCTCCAGCAGAACTCCAGCTAGGCAGAAAACTCCAAGGTCCAATGAATAAAGTGCTTCATGGCCTCAATCTGACTCCAGACACTGCTTCCTACGATGTGGTCCATCATCTTCATCACTTACAAACCCAAGCCAAAGAAAACAGTAAGAAAGCAAAATTGAGACAATGAGAAATTATAACAAAAAGAGGAGAGATTTAACATTCAAAAGCAAGGACCGTGTATGGTTACGTAACTTCCCACAGTCTAGTGCACAACATAATTTTAGTGCAAAACTAGCACCGAAGTGGAAGGGATCTTACCGTATTCTGAAGCAGCTGGGTCCTCTGAACTATGAAATAGCCCTGGAAGACACTGGAGAAGATGTCCAGACAGCACATGTCTGTAATTTAAAAATGTGTTTTCCAACAGCCGAAGAATTGGAGTCCCAGGAAAAACAAAACCTCTTTGATCTGTTTCAGGAAGCCTCTGATGAGGAAGAAGAATTTTTAGGATTCTAATCCATGCTTTCTTTTAAACAACCATGGGTTGTTTTCTTCAAGGGAGGGAGACTGTGGCAGTGAAAATGTTGTGCCACAAAATCTTTTGGTTTACTTTCGTTTTCACTTTGCGTGTTTGGGGTGGAGCATTTCAATTATCAACGGAAGGAAAGAGGATATAAGGAAGTGAGTCATACCTGAGAGTAATTGCGTCATCTGTAAAAGTTTGCAGTAGTGTGGGAGTGATTGTGTGGAGAACCCTGCGAAGGTGGAAAGATGGCTGTTTGTTCAAATGGTTGCTTTTCTTGTTAGTGATGTCTGGTGCGTTGTGACGTTCCAAATTACTTTTAAATGTGGCACTGCCAGATCGTCTGCACTTAAAATTGTTCTGAAGACAAGTATCGGCTGCTCATCCACCGGTCCTGGTTTCTGAAAATCCTGCTATACTCTCCAATTTTCGTCATGACTGCAAACTTGGGTCAGTACCTCTCTGCCGCCATTACACATACTCATTTCACTCACTACTACACATGCACGCACTCGCACCACATTCACTTTTGCACATTCGGTGCGCTTATTGTTTTTATGAGTGTTAAATGATTATTGTTGCTTTGGGATTGTTGTTTGATAATTATGAAATTACCAAATGCTTATTTAATGTTTCTTTTTTCTTCTTCTTCTTTTTCCTTTATGGACAATTTATAAATAATTGTGGACGTCAATCTGCTTTATTGGAAACATACACTAGAGTGACGCAATTCCTACGTGGACCTCAACCCGAAACTTAATTTGAACTGTTGTTTTTTCCCCCTCTGCTTATTGTCTTTTAGGTTTTTGTTTTTGTTTGATTGTTTCTTATTGTTCAAACTTGTATTTTTCTTTTTTTTTCCTTCTTTCTCATGCAATGGACAATAGTGGAATAAATCTTCCCTTTGAACAGTATTATTTTTTGACTGTCTATGTGATTTAATGTTGTAACAGGTGGTGTTTTAGTTTGCTATCCTGGGTTAATTTAAATTTTGTCGGGGTTAAAACCTGACTGGCGCCCGAATATTTTCCTTATAGAATTTATTTATGCTAGGGCAGCCGCCACCGTTACACACTAGAAAAGATTATTCAAGTTTGACACGTTGCCATGGCAACAATATTTTAGATATCAATATCCCCTCAACAGTTTTAGACCGACCTTGTTTTGATTTTATTCTGATGAAATTTGAAGCAAATTGAGTAAAAATAAGATGCTAATTCAAAGCATTTTGAAAATGACACACTTCCTGCTGCCAGTTGGTGGTGCTATAATTTTGACTCATAATAGTCACATGTATGCAATCGACATCATACAACGAACAAACCCCTGACGTTTGATCAAAATCAGACAATGTATGTGGATGTTATTAGACACTTCCTGTTTCTCATTTATCGCTATAACTTCATCACCTCGCCACGAGCAAACCGTTCAAGATATCAAAAGTCCCTGCGCAATTTAGCATCCCCAATGTCTTGAGATCATGTTCACTAAGTTTGGTGGCAATCGGTTGGAAACCCTCATAGGAGTATATCAAATTCCAGAGCATGCACTTTTTACACAGCCCTGAATAGCCAACTTCCTGTTGGGTTCCTGCCTATTACATGCACGCGTAAAAGTTGTTGAGCTCAATGAGATCTATATGTGTACCGAGTTTCATATGAATACGTGCAAGTATGAGGGGGCGCTGTAGAGTCCCTGTGCCACGCCCGGGTCCCAGCCTCTGCCGCGTCCTAATGACCGCAGATTCCAACATGTGTGCCAATTTTCAAGAGTTTTTGAGCATGTTAAGGCCCCCAAAAAGCCCCGGATAGTCGAAGAAAAAAAAAAAAAAATAGCTGCAAGCAGCGATGGCGGGCCCAAGCCGTCAGTGCAAATGCCACACCGGTGGCATCAGGAGAACGGTGCACAGCGGGCACATGCATTTACAGTAACCCTCTGGCAGGTTAAGGGATACAGCAATGAAAGGGTTAATCCAAACTACCAAGACTGTGAAACACACACACACACAGAGAACAATATATAAAAAATTGGTAACACTTTACAATAAGGTTTCAGTTATTAACATTAACTGTATTAATTAACATGAACAATAACTATATAGCATTTATTGTTAGTTAATATTAAGTTAAAATCTAAAACATTAAAATGTAAAGTTTTATCTGTTAACATTAGTTAATGCACTGTGAATTAACATGAATATTTTGATTAACTAACATCAACAAACATTAATAAATGTTGTACAAATATATTTTTCATTGTTATTTCATGTTAGTTAATGCATTTACTGTTGTTAATGTTAACAAATGAGATATTGTAAAGTGTTACCAAAACCTTTAATGATTCACAAGCCTTTTTATCTATTTGATTGATCTATAAGCATTTGTGAAATATTTTTGCCTGCATTACAGCTTAGTCTTCATCTGTGAGCTGAACTGTTTTACTGTTACAGCCATGAGATTATGTAAATTCAGATTAAAGTCATGTCACAGGATGTCATAGTTTTTAACTTTATATAACTATGTTAACATGAACAATATTTATATAGTATTTATGAATCTCAGTTATTATCATGTTCAAAATTGACTACTACATTATTTATTAAAATGTATAGTTAATGCACATCAGTTACTGTACCATTAACTAAGATGACATTTTTTTACTAACACAAATAAATACAGTAAAAACATATTGTTCATACTTAGTTTGTTAGTTGTGAATTAACTAATGTTACAAAACTATATATTTTAATTATTAGTTAACATGAACAATATTTATACAAAATGTATTAATGTTAATTAATATTAAGTCCAAAATGTATTAATACATTATTACAAATTTAAAGTTGTACCTTTTAACATTAGTTTATGTAATGTGAATTAACATGAACATGACTAGTTTTATTTATTAACATTAAAAATATTAATAAATGCTGTAAAAATATATTGTTCATTGTTAGTTCATGTTAGTTAATGCATTACCTAATGTTAACCTAAGAGACCTTATTGTAAATTGTTACCAACACGTTTTCTAATCTATAACCATTTTTAAAAATTATTTTAATAACCTATAAGCATTTGTGAAATAATTATATAAAAATAAATTACCAGTAAAGTACACATTAACTTATTTTAATGTATTTGCTTCTTATTCTAATTAATTGAGCTGAGCAGTAAAGTGTCAGACTTAAAATATTTCTTATCCTATCAGTGAGAGGGGGCATAGGATATATATAACTTTTAATGATTTTTCTTTTAAAGATTTTTAAAAAAGATGTTAATGGTCTATAAGCATTCTACAATAAATATGTAAACATATACTGACAGTACAGTACATATCAACTAATTCCATGCATTATTTTTCATTCTGATATGCAGAGAGGGTTACAATATTTTTAATCCTGTGACTCCATCAGGTGGTCATCCTTGGTATTACAGTCTTCACCTATGACCTGTAATGTGTGATAGTTTTAATTTTTAGTGGCCCCTGAGCATGATTAAATTATGACACTTAGCATGTTTCCTAAGAATGACTTGCTCTCCAAATGTAAAACGTTTTGAAGAGTTTAAAGATATGAGAAAATTACTGTTATCTTTTTCAAGATATCCAAAATCTGCTCACAGTTTAGCATCTTTAGTATCTTGGCATCATGTGAAAAAGTTTGGTGTGAATGGAATGATTTTTGCAAGAGTAGTATGCATTAATTCACAGCCTGATTTAAAAAAAAATCCACATTCAAACCAAAATAGCCAACTTCCTGTTGGTCGTAGCTAATGACTGAAAATTGGAAAGTTGTCCAGCTTGATGAGAACAATATATGTACCGAGTTTGGTGTCTGTAGGAAAAACGAACCCCCCCACTTTTGACAAAAGGTGGCACTATGGAGCACCTCCTCCACGACCATTTATGAGCTTTTGCCAGTGTCTAACTATCATTAATACCGATGTGTGTATTGAGTTTCATGAAATTCTAAGCATGTCAAGGGCCTCAAAAACACCAGAAAAGAATATTCAAGTTTGACAGGTTGCCATGGCAACAGTATATAATATATCAAGGACCCCTTTTCAGATTCTCATCGGCCATGTTTTGACATTATTCTGATGAAGTTTGAAGCAAATCTAGTAAAAATAAGATTTCACTGATTTCACACTTCCTACTGCCAATTTGTGGCGCTATACGTTTGAGTCCTAATAATCACATATATGCGATCGGCATCATACAACTAACAAACTGCTGAAGTTTGATCAAAATCAGACAATGTGTGCAAAAGTTGTTAGACACTTCCTGTTTCTAATTTCTCACCATAACTTCGTCGCCTCGCCACAGCCAAACTGTTCGAGATATAAAAAATCCCTTGACAATTTTGTATCCCCAATGTCTTGAGATCA